TCTTTTGAGTGGCTTTTTTTGTCCCGATAGATGTCTTTGATCACTAAGCAGAGCTTCTAACCAACCTTCCTGTGTTATTTAAAAAAAACCAACGTCAGATGCAATTACAAATTAGTCATAAAAAGGGCTGGCCAATGAATGGCAAACAGGCACCATCAGGGTATTAAATCACTCCAACACTGTATGTAACCTGGCATTTAATCTATGGAAATTAACCTCCTTATTGGAATCCAACTGGGTACATAAATGTCACGGGTCCTTTAAAATGCCACACTGTTGCCAAGGTCACAACCATATAAATAAATCTGATGTATACCTTAGGGATAAAGCATCAAGACAAATTACCAAACTAAAGGACTCTGTTCAGAACTTAGAAGCAGAAGCCATTGTTTTAATTTTGTTGACGTACGTATGGATTTTTGTAGATGTGTTGGTTATTTTTTTTTATTTCAGTCATGAGCAAAGCATCTCTGAACAGTTCACAATCAAACACACACAGAGAAATAAACAAGGGCAAATCTCACAGATCAGGGAGTTCTGTAACTGAAGTGGAACTACTGAGAAAGCTCTAGGAAAATATACGCCATTAAAGTTTCAGAACTATCTTCAAGAGCAGCTCCGTTACACTGAACCAATCGAGAGCTTATCAAGGCATGTATTCTGGAAATAACAAGTCCTTTAGGAAAGCCAGCCTCCAGGTGGGACCTGGGGATCCCCTGAAATTACAGCTCATCTCCAGACTTTGAGATTGGTACCCCTGGAGAAAATGGATGCTTTGGAGGGTGGACTGTATGGCATTGTACCCCACTAAGGCCCCAGTCCTCCCCCAGGCTCTGTCTCCAAATCTCCAGGAGTTTCCTAACCTGAATCTGGCAAACCTACCTCCCATACCTCACCGGTGGCCAGGGGAAACCTGACAATTCCATTTTCAGATGGGATTGCCAGCATCAGGATGGGGAATTCCTGGAGTTTTGAGGGCAGAGCCTGGGGGGCAGAGTTTGGCACCTCACCTCTAGAATGCTGTCCTCCTTGAGGCTTACTTGGTGCCACAAAGCAGGGCACAGGGGACATATGACTTCTTGGTAGAGATGGGCATGACCCAGCTCATGAATGAAAAATTGTGATGAATTTGAGCCAGTTTGTGATTCACAAACAGAAGACCCGCCACGAACTTCCATGAATTTTAAGGCAGTTCATGACAGTTTGTGAAGAGCAGAAAGCAGGGGTTTAAACAGCTCGCAAAAAAACAGCTGAGTCTCAGCAGAAAGCAGGGCTTCAAAAAGCTCTGAGCCATTTAATCCCCTGCTTTCTGCTCCCCGCGAAAAGTGACAGGGAGCAGAAAGCAGAGATCACAAACCAAGACGAACCAGTTCAGATTATGAACCAACCTCCCAGTTTGTATTGGTTTGTGGTTCCGTTCGTGGTTTGTCCACAAACCACAAAACGAACTGCAAAAATGCGGTTCATGCCCATCCCTACTTCTTAGGGTAGGACATGGGTATCTAGGTTACACCTATAGGAGGAACTCGCTGTATGTTCATGGTCTGTTGATAAGCCTATCTATATATCTAATTCCCAACTTGCCCCCTCCGTGCGGATACTTAAATCAGCACGGAGGGGGCAGCTGGGGGGCTGGGGGAGGTTTGTGTACACGTGGGCCAGTCCCCACGTGTGCACAAAAATAAAATAGTTTAAAAAAAATTCGGGGGGATGTTAAAATCCCCCCGAAAGTGCAAGAGAACGCTGCCGCCGGGTGGGTAGGGAGGGGGGGCGGCCGGGCGGGGAGGAGAGGCCTCGCTGCCGCCTCCTCCCCGGAGCCGGCCGGCCGGGTAGGGAGGAAGGGAG